GATTAATTGCCTAACCCTTACCCCTTAACCCATTTACGACTGGTGTCCCATGTATGAGACACCTGGAAAAATAAACATTGCCGCCGTCCCGCCAGTGTTACATCGTAACCTTGTGCTCCGATCCAGATTCCGGGCCAGTCCCATGCCCCAATTTTGTAGCTGCCTGGAAACCATTATTTTCGGCTTCAAAATATACCGGCGTTACTTTACCCATTTTATTCTGGCTCACCATGGCCAATAATGAAAATTCTTTAAGGCTTGCCCCTTCATCAACTAGCTTTTCTGAATTTGATTTTGATGGTTTTTCGACCCTGCCCCTCCTGTGACCACAGCTCCAGCCAATGATACTAATACCCTCTCCTCAACATTTACTGACAATTATATCCATTCTGAAAACCCACTCAGGTTATTACTCAACCTCTAAAATGCACCTTCCTCTCCCAACATTCTCCTCTCCATCTCCTACTGCATAATCTTCTTCAAAGTCTACCCCTTCCTCCCTTATTACTACTCTTCATCCTTATTGACCTCCTCCCAATAGAACTACTACACTCCATTCCACTCCATCTTCTTCTCGTCCTTGTCCTTCTACTGCCTTTGCAAGAGAATGTTTGTTTCTCAGTCCTCTTCATGCAACTCCCCTCCAGAAACCCTTGAAGACATCTAAAACTTTCTGAAGATGACCCAAGGGAACACCCTGCACCCTCATCCACCCCCAACCCTCTGTTCCTGCTCCTTCTACTCTTCAAGTTCCCTCCAGATCCCAGATTCCGGGGCCAGTTCCGTGCTAACTCTCCAGAACCGCGACATTGAAGAACATCAATTAACTTTTCTTTTGTATACGCATGATATGCCAAGGGAACACGCTTTCTGCACACTCTCACTCGTATGCTCATTCACCCGAATGCTTCGCTCTGGTTTCATTTGTACGCACTTCACTCATACTCTCTCAAGTGCGCCCAGATCCACGAACGCTCATTCGGTACTATTCACTTACCCTCACCACATAACTTCGGTCCGCAGCTTCTCTTATCCTGGCTATTACCCACGCTAGAATACTTTTCACCATGAATTTGTAGCTTCACTGTAGTCACAAGCAATGCTCCTCTCTCCAGACCCCTTTCATCCTTGCATCACGAATTCTTCTATTTGTTACGCTTTCACATCACTTTTTCACGCCCCATTGATCTCGCTACTTTCTTAGTTCCTCTTCTAGCTCCTCTCTAAAACAGGTGGTCTTTTTCTCACCTCTGTTTTTCTTGAAACAATGCTCCTCTCTATTTCTCTGTTCCCCACTGCTAGTCTTCCACAGATATTCAATTTGTCCACTATTTTCTACTTCGAATGCTCTATTTCCTCCTTCATTCCCTTCCTCTTTTCTAACACTTTTCTCTTCTATTTTTACTTAAACTCGGATGCTCTTATCTCGTATTTTTATCTTTCTTCCTCTTTCCTCCTTATTTCTGCTACCATTTCTCACTCCTTCTTCATCTCATTCACACTCATCTCTTATAACAATCTCTTTACCTCCGTCTCTATTCTCATTCAGTTATTCATTCACTCCATTAACATAGTGTGGGGATCATCTCGAACTTTAGCAGCGAATAAAGATTATGGGGCCGGATCTACTACTTAGCTTTCTCCTCTCACTACTACGTCAACTCGCTTTGTACATTATGTAACAGCTTACGAAGAACTTTTGAATTCAACATGATTTCTTCAAACTAGTGACTTTAACGATCCTACTTTTCAAAATTATCGCACACACAACGTGTTGAGCCATAGAGGGGTCAATTGCGTACCCTTCTAATCTCCTCGTTATTCTTCTGTATTTATTCTCTCTATTTTCTGTTTATGGCTATCTCTGTTCGTAGGGCTTTATTTCCCTACCAAGAACATGGATGGATCGCCCACTCACGCTTTAAGCCCTGCGGTTAAAAATTCGATCTATGTTTTTGCGAACCACCCTAGCACCAACTTCACCGCACTCATAGAGCGTTTCCGCTCTGAAACTGAGGCGATACACTATGAAGCTTTACTTAGAACACAAGCTTCTCTATATGCATCGATCACCATCTGGTCGCAATAGTCAGCCTGTTTATTGATACATTACACTACCTTTTATAAAATAGTCTTTATAAACCTTCCTAGTACTTTAACTATGATTAACTATATAGTAATAATATATACTTCACTACTATAATATATATATACATATATATACGTATTATTACTATCTCTACTATAATACTAGAGCTATATCAGTAATCATACATATATATATATATAACTAGCACCCCCCCCATTCGATATCTATACTGATCATAATACTATCTAATATGCCTATATTCCTACACTATCGTATACCATATATATGTATAATACTCATTACTGTATACCTACTACTTCTTACTGTTTATATTATTAATAACTCACTCATGATATATTATAATACTCCAACTCACACTGATATATATATCACTATACTATCGCATCAATACTATTTCTAATATTACTATGTATGATATAGCTAATTAGTATTACCGATAGCTATAAGTCTAATACTCTATATCACTTATTTCACGAGCGCCAACTAGATACATCACATGATTCATAGACTGCACTACTTTATTAACAGTCATATTCTACTACCATAATATATATACATTTTTTATAGTACTCTATAATATACACTACACTTTACTACTTATAACAATATATAAATATGTATTTATAACCTATAAAATTATAATAATTATATTCACATATTTAATATGGATATATTAAATATATTATTATATATATTATATATTCTTTAAATATATAACTACTATAATAATTTACTAATATTACATAATACTTATATATATATATATATATTACACTAATAATACCTTAATATTTACTCATGTGCTTACGGACTATACAACACCATCATCATATAATATCTAATCTATCTATACCTGTCTATACCTATCATATTCTTATCTAATCATCATAGTCACTTACATCATACTATTCATTATCCTATCTGCTCTTATCTCGATACTGTGTGTCCTGTCTTTCCCGTCTGTTGTGTTGTGCTTATCTCGCATCTGTCCACTCTGTCCATCTGTCAGCAGGTCATCTATATGTCGGCTAAGCTGTCGCGTGTATTCTGTCCGAGTTCTGTCACGTATCACTAGTACTCAGTATGATTCATCTATCTCATTTTAATCTCATCTTATCTATCTATCTTCGTATACTATATAATATTCATAACATACGATTTGTAGAATGTATAGTACTGTAACTGATATATACATTATTTAAACATACATAACATTCAACATATATAAGCATATATCTATTAAATCTTATATATTGCCAATATTATATTATCATGTATAATTAATAATGTAAGAGATTATCATATATACGCTATACTAGTATTAGATTAATATATAATAAGTGTAGTTTCTAATGTAATGTCGCAGTATTACTGCGTATTAATTTAGGATTACATTAGAGTAAGTGCTCTGACTTGTATAGATTTATTGATTATCGTATCGTATGATTAGTGTGTTGTATGTATGTATGTATGTGCATAGTGATATGCATTCACACACACCATACCAGACACCCTCACATACACAGTCGACACCATGCGATCTCAGGCACACTAATCAACAATGAGTCAGTGATGATTTATTGCACACCTACCGAATGCACACACACACACACAACACTACAACATCACACACACACACACACAGCATGACCGAACCTATCCCATGCGCGCGGTACAGTACAATCTCACTCACACACACACACACATTCACACATATCTATCACACACAACACAACAAACACACACAAGTCACACACACAGTAGTATGGGTTAGTGTTAAAGTCCAACCCACACACACATTTTGTGATACAGGTGGGCTGCATGATTAGTCACCGATCAAGCGCACTCACACCACACACACACACAGGACACAGCACATATAATAATATTATTTATAGATATAATATATATATATATATTAGTATACATTATATAATAGTGTATAATATACTCATATAGGTGGTAGGCGCTATATATATATATATATAAACGGGCATGCCAAAAGATATGCAGTACATGTAAATATATCTAGTCATACTATTAACTCTATTATACCACCACACTATGACTGACTCCTCCATCCCAGCCTCCACACATACACGTTATACTATACATACAGTACTATTATTATATTGTAACATTCTTATATGATTATGTATATATATAATATTAATACTAATGATTGTATTTTTATATTAATTGACATAAATATTTATATATATAAATATAGAATATATATATACACTAATACACCATAGTATATAATATTAGATCTATCTATCTCTATAGTATATCTATATACTCACTTACTATCGATTCTATCTATCTCTATTACTATCATATCGTAATATAATTATCTATCACTCTCTCAAGGCAATATATATTCCATCTACGCTGTCATTGATCATACCACTATTAGTATATTGATCATGATATGTTATATATTCTAAGTCATATATATTATATAATATATACTATTATTATTTATATTATATTAAGTATATAATTATTATATATATAAATTCAGCTATATATTTATTTTATTAATTAGTCACTTGCTACTGGCTTAATATAGATTAGTTACTTTATCTTTTATTTTTTTTTTTGTTTTGTATTGTCACTATAATTATTGTTATAGTTTTTTTAAATTTGCCTTATTTTATTTCTTTTTATCATTGTATAATAGTGCGGCGTGTGAGTGGGTATTATTATTGTAAAATATTATATAAGCATCTACTACATATATCTATTATATAATGTAGGTTATCCTATTGGCAATTCTCCATTTCACTTATATAACATATCACTACCCCTTGAGTTTATCTCACTATCATTGCTCGCGTACTCATATTCACAAGGTATTAGGGCTCATGTTTTGGTATATAATTATGGTAGAGGGAAAGAGATACACACACATATATGAGTCTGGCTTTCATATACTATACGCCTCGCAGTCAAACTTAAATATCACATATCGCCTCTTTGACGTACTGGTTACTTTTTTCATAGAGGATAATACACTGTATAGACGAATTTTGTTACAATCACAGTAAAACACACAAAAAAATTTTTCCAAAATCTTTTCCCATTAAAAATTTCCCCAATCAAAAGGGAAAAAAAAAAACATTATCAAAAAATTATCCCCCTAAATGTAATTTTACATTAGGCTATTAAGAGGTGTGTTTGTAAATTGATAACATTTGATATTAAATATTTATTATGTTTTGTTGCTATAGAGGAAAATAGTCATAATGATGGAATTATGCATTTTCATTCAGATTTCGTACTTGAAGATGTGTTAGAGATCCTTTAATTCATGATAAATTAAACTTGCTGAGTGGTTTACATCAAGTGTTTCCGCACCTCTATGCACTGGCAAAGGCCAATCCTTATTTACATTAGTCATATTGTTTTTTCCGTTATTATGCATCCTCAATGGTTGCTCTTGCACATTAATTGATTTCCACATGGCAAAGTGACATTTACACACTCCTAAAGGTATTTATGAAGCTGATATGAGCTGAGGAGGGTCGCTTCGATAAGCGTCACGAGAGGTTGCGGGCTCCCGTAAATGTTTCTCGTACGGAGATGTGTTTACAACCTCAGGAGTGTTTTGAAAATACGCTCGTTGCGAAAAACGAGAGAGTAACTTGTTTTACGATATAAACAGACCATTTACGATATCGTAAGACGTTAGTAAATCCGGCCCCTGGGCGGTTCCAAAATCGGCGGGTGGGGCTGCCCTGGACTCTGCCGCCTGCCTGCGCCTGCTGCTGCGTCGGAGCGCGAGCCCCGATACTGTGTCATACTGGCGGGACCCCCGACAATGTTTATTTTTTCGGGTGTCTCATATGTGGGACACCTGTCGTTAGTGGGTTAAACATTGTTCCTATACCTTCCCCAGTGACAGATACACTAATTCATTCAATCGCCCTACCCCCTTAACCCTTCCCTTTCTACTAATCTGTGCTCAAGTTCACTTACTCCCCTCTTTCCCCTTTTCACTACCATGATATCCTATAATGCTCTGTAATCTAACACATTTTTATCCTAATATTTAACTCCTCTTTACCCTTTCCGACACAATACTTTATCATAGTGCTATATGACCTTTGATGTCTAGCACATTTATTTGTTTCAAACATTAAACATTAAAACATTAAACATTCTCTTTCTCTCTGCAGACAGCCTGTGTACACATCTTCCAAGGAATATGGCCGAGGAAGGTCGTGTGGAGATAGGGGAGGCAAGTGCAGGCTGCAAGATGGAGGAATCAATGTCCAATCTAGGGGGTGCTCCTGTTGTCTGTTTAGTAAGTAAAGGAAAAGGTTTTTATTTTTTATTTTTTTAATGTTATGTCTTAGGCAGTCTCCTCAAGGAAATAACAACAATTTTCTAATAAATGAACAAAGGTTAGGATTATTTTGCTGTGTATTTGTTACTTTGTGATGTAAATCTATATTTATCCTTATTTTTAAATTTCTGAATTATATATTTTTTCTGTTTATATTTTCATTGATGACTTTAAAGAATGGATGAAATCTAACAAAGTCATCCAATTGAGACCCCACTTCCCTCCCATAGTACAGAAGACCAGGTAATAGCTTTACTCATCAAATGCAGGTTTGTGACCGTGTGATTAAGGAGCTCCACAGACAGGATGTGCCCAACGTGTTCCTAGAGAATAGTGTGACATCTCATTCTCAGCAGCAACTGGCAAACATGCTGTCAGTCATTTTAAAAAGTCCCCTAGAATCATCGCAGGTTTGTGGGAATTTTATTTGTTGTCTGTGATCTTATTCTCATCTTTGATATATTTGTCTGGTGGTAGCTGATATGCATCTCTGGTTGTCATTATTGCAGGATGTAGATATTTCATTAATTTTCTTGTTGTAATAGTTTTTATCATTATTACAAATATATCAAATTTTTATTATTTCTTAATTTCGATAATAGAAGATTAAGCACTTAGAATAGTGTTTCTTATTCACTCTCCATTGTTATAGCAAAAACATGTTTAGTGCTAACATTTGCTTTTGGAGAGTTTAGAAGTAACAGTAACAGATATAGAGTGGATAAGAATCAGAATCTCCAAGTATAATACATCTTTTTTTTTTCAGGTCTATTCTAAAACCTTGTGCCGAAGGTGCTTCAGACTCTTAGATGAACTGGATGGTATTGAGCAGCGGTCAGTAGTTCTAAAAACAACCATTGAAGAGCTCTACAATCGCTCGCTTCTGAGGCGCATGAAAGGGCCTCGTGTGAATGAAGAAGAGACCATTGGTAAGGATGGTTGCTTGCAGTGTCATTGAGCCTTCACTTTATATTGAGTTATTTCTGGAGTGTGGGAGAAAAGAGAAACTTTTTTGAAGACAAATCAATAAATTCATTATTCTCAAACTGGGTACCAAGGCACCTAAGGTTGTGGGCAGTTTTCCTGTTTATTTGTCATTTGATTGTGTGTTGATTTTGATTTGAGCTCCAGTGATTTGAGTAACAGGCAAAGATGCAGTTTACTAGAAAGATAAAATTGTGTAAGGTGGGGGTGGTGGGGCATTAAAGAAAAGGGTGCCAAAGAAAGGAGTACCAGTATGTGAGTTTAGAGTACCATCACTGAGAAGAGTTTGGGAACCACTAGAATCATACCTGGTATTTGTGCATGCTCATTGAAGGGATAATCACACAAGGACAGATTTTCTTGTGCTTTCTTATCACGTGAATATGTACGGCAATCTGTACATGCTCTTGTAACCAACTGGTGTTGTTCCCAAGCCCTTTTATGAATATTATTGCTATACTGCATTACAGACACTTGTATAGTCAGGTTGGAGATGAGGGGGCGTGACCAGAAGGGCAGCAACAGGGAAAGCTAAAAGTGTGGTTGGTAGGGTGCCAGCAAGAGAGGGATGATATTATTACTTTAGGTTTATAGGATTTTAGCCTGGCTTGGCATGAAATTTTGATATGCATCCTTTTGTTTAGCACAGTGGTTCACTTTGCATCTTAATAGTAAATTATATGGAAAATCTGATTATAGTCTTGATAGTAAATTATATGGAAAATCTGATTATAGTCTTGATATGTAATGATATGAAATAAGAATGTGAAATACTTATGGAATGGTGTAAATATAACTCGTTTCCAAGATACTGATATAAAATACATATGAATATATGAAATTGTTATAGATATATTAGAATTGTATGAAAAGGATAAAAACTATATTAGATATGAGAAAATGAAATCTGAAGTGTATGCATAATTATAGGTTAACAAACAAGAATTTTCATTATTCCCTTGACAGGTGCTATGGACTTAGGTTTACCTGAAGACGACGAGGAAGATGATGGCTCTAAAATCTCAGTTAAAGTGGAGCCCCTGGATGATGATGAGGACTTTCTGGCTGATGAGCTGCGACCAGAGGACCAGGGCATCCGGCCTGATGATCCGGAGTTCAATCCTGCACATGACAATATGTGGCGGAGCAAGTCACGCAGTAAGGGCAGGGGCAGGTGAGTGTAGAATGGAGCACTGAGCAGAGTTTGGTCTAATGTCTGGTTCTTATTAGACTTGATGTGCTTTAGTCGTTAACCCCTATGATCTGGGTGACGTTATGGTTGAGGACCGGGTGACGTGAACACCCCGACAAAATGGCCGTGGGCAGGGTGATGTGAAACTGACGTCATGGGGATAGAAAAGACTCATCACGAGTGGACAAACCTCTTGGAGTGTAATTAGATTAATGTGGTGGTTATAAGGTAGCTTTTGTATTATTCCCATAGATAAATGAATGTAGAATTTAAGGTGTGTAAGCTGTGACTCGTATTTCTCGCTGCTGTGACTGGTAACGCAGGTTGTATTACTGAAAATTGAAAATTACAAATAAGTAAGATATCTGACACAAATAACTAAATGTTACTTATATTTGAATCATATTTACTACATAGAGAGATAATATGGAATCTGTGCAAAGAAAATAATCTATTACCATCTGGATAAAACAAATCTAAAGACAAATCTGGACATTGGAATATGGCAAAAAAGCCATAAAGTTTACACAAAATAAATTTATAAAGAGGAGGCACAGAGTCTTGTCAGCACTCGTGAGTGTTTAAGCACACCTGGCCTACGTGCCATGTGTCTGGGATATTGGCCACATGTAACCCACTGCCCATATTTTCGGCATTGTGATTTCCATGATGCAACCAGATCCAACGGTTCCAGCTGTTCCCTCCAGATGGCATGAACATCATGTATAGAAGTAGAAAGTCTTCGTGCCAGGTGACATGAATACCTTAACACTTTAGAAATATGTTAAGTGTGTTTATTGTTTGGGGTAGCTTGGAGCTGCAGAGGTGAACAGGAAAGGCAAAAATTATTATGATGGAAGATGAGGGATAGTGTAAAAGGGCATTTGAGATGTATGGTGAAGGAAAAGTAGGTGTCATTTATGCATTGCATACAGTGATGTTTTATGCCTAGGGGAACAACCTGAATGACACAGAACATGGAACATTAAACGACCTGATTGGCTGATGATTTGTATAAAAGAGGGGCAGCCAATAAATATTCGCTTACAAGCCTGGAAATTTCATGACTTGACTAGGTCAAGCTCTCACGCCGCTGCTGCTGCACTTTAATGGTAAGTAACTTTCTTTTTGTTCTCTCTTTTCTGCACAAAAAAGGTTGTCTACATTCAGTCTGTACATGATTTTAGCATAATTTATAGGCTCTTGTGTTTTCAGGTTTTCCTTTAGTGAGGATGCTGACAACCCACAGCCTTCACCTGTAGCTGCTATGGTTAACCAGTAAGTAGGTCTCAAATCATTGTCTTGTATCTGCTTATATATGAAAATCAAGAAACTAGTATCAGCATGGCTTTGATATTTGTGATTATTTTTATTGTTCTTTCTTTCTTTCTGTGTCTGTCAGGTGCTCCTCAAGTAAGGACCCAGGTGACTTGGCTGAGGCAGCAGTAACCTTAGCATGGTATGACCTCTCATCAAATAACAGTACTGACGAGGAGTACCTGGCAAGGGGGGGCCAACTTGAAAGCTGCTCTGACAGTGCCTCTGATGATTTAGACTGTGTTTCTCAGGACACTATGTTCAGTTCAGATGAGCCACTGTCAGAGTTTGCAGGGAAACAAAATGATCCTGGGACCCAGAAGTTTGTGTGGCAAAAGTTGGAAAATATCCCAAGGCAGTTTGGATTCTCCAGGCATCCTGGGGTCAATATTCCTGACATGGACAAGGAATCCAGCCCCTTGACTATCTTCTCTAACTTCATTACTGATGAACTTCTGGAATTACTCGTCCAGGAATCTAACCGGTGAGGTGCCTGTGGTAGAGTTCGCTGTAACATATCAGTTTATCAACACTGTACATTTTCTCTGCAGTAGTATGTTGCATGGTTTTATTTATTTGTATTGACTCTTTTAGCTGTTTTTATCTTTTTTGTGTGGCATGGCTTTAATTTCTTTTTTTCTCTCTCTCAGGTATTACTACCAGCAATCTGCAACCTACTCAGCATACAAGAAAGCATGGTTTGACATTTCAGTTTCTGAGCTGAAGGCCTATCTGAGTCTTTGGCTCTTGATGTGTATTGTGCCAAGGCCAGAGTTGAAATGGTATTGGTCAACAGACCCCGGGCATGTCATGCCCGTGTTCTCTAAGACAATGACAATAGATAGATTTGAGGCTATCACGTGGTGTCTCCATGCAACTAACAACAGTGGCAAGCATGCTTCTGGTGATCAGCTGTGGAAATTGCGCCCGGTGATTGACCTGCTCTCTCATCAGTTTTTGGCTGTTTATTCTCCTCCTAGGAGGATTACAGTTGATGAGAGTCTCTGGAGATTCCACAGTCAAGCACACTTTAGGGTCAAGGTTTACAAGTTGGTGGTGGCCCATGGCCCAGCTGAGGGCTATGTATGTGCTTTTGGAATATACATGGGTCAGGACAAAGGTGACCTTCCAGGATCAACTAAGGCTGTTGTTAACTTGATGGAAGCTGCTGAGCTGTTTGGAAAAGGCCATATTCTTTTTACTGACAACAGGTATAGCTCTCCTGTCCTATTCCATTGCTTACAGAGTCAGTGTACAGGGGCTGTTGGTATGGTGCAACCAAACTGCAAGTACATGCCAAAGGACCTGCTGGTAAAGGTCCGTGGAGATGTGGACTACAGGAGTACGACAACAGGAATGTTGGTTCTTAAGTGGGCTAACAAGAAGCCTGTAACCATGCTCTCCACAGTTCACACCAGTGAAATGGTTACAGTCTTGAGTGAGAGTGGGCATGAATGCACCAAGCCCAAGGTAGTAGTGGACTACAACTCTGGCATGAAGGGGTCAGATTTGAGTAACCATCTTTCTCAACCCTATCCAGCCTTTTTTAAGTCCATCAGCTGGTACAAGAAGGTGCTCTTCTATCTTTTTGACTTGGTAGTAGTCAATGCCTTCCAGATGCACAAAGCACTTGGAGGGCACATGGCTCAGCTGGAATTCCGGGAAGAACTAGCTTGTGAGCTCCGACTGGAATACTGCCGCAAGTCTACAGCATACCAGAGCTATTCCTCCCTCACTTTTGGGAGCCGTCTTCAAGGGGCAACAAAACACACCCAAAAACGAACTCCAGGGAATAAGTATCGCCGATGTCGTATATGTTACTCACATGGTATAAGAAAAGAGACAAGGACAATGTGCTCATTATGTTTGGTTCCACTGTGCCAGTATGAGTGCTTTGACCTTTACCACAGTAAGAAGAAGAGTACATGACCATGATGTTATTAAGAGTACCTTATTGTAAATGCTGTTAGAAATTTATATACTCTCAGATAAATAAAGTGTGAATTTAATTTTTTTTTATCTTTCTATACTAGTAATAGCACTTATCATGTTTCACATAAACAAAAAATTATATAATCAGCTAATATAAAATCTGGTAAATGCTTATATTTGTACAGTTGACTGCACATGTATGTTCATATAATTTTTTTTTCTTCTCGTTAGGTACTAACTGCATAATCAGTTTGAATTGAATTTTGGTAACTACATATAGTTTATTTTGATTTTGGTCACACAACAGATATCTAACAGAGACAAAAGAATATTTCACAAAAACCAAAAGCTATAAAGGAGAAAATGATCTCAATACAATAGGTAATCAGCCATGTTATACCACTGGTTAAACCTGAAACTGGTTCTGTAGTCCCGCAGGACCTGAAGCTTACATGAAGATAATAAGTTAAGGAACAATGTATTTTAAAGGGTATGGAAGGATGTGATAATAATAATGATAATAGAAATTGTTATTATTATTATTATTTATTTATTGATGCTATTGTCATTTATTATTATTTTTATTCTTTAAGCTGTTAATATTTTACAGAATTTTTGGTATGCAGAGATGGAGAGAGAAAAGGAGCAAGTCATCATTCAGACAGTCACACAAATGTTTATTTCCAGGGGCAGGGGTCGTAGTAGAGGTCGTGCAAGAGGACGTGGTAGAGGTCGGGGCCCAGGGAGACCCCCAAAGAACATAAAAGATGAGGATGCTACAACTAGTAAAGCTGGAGAATCTCTTGGGGAGAAACTGGGTCAACTAGTCAACAAAATACTAGGTAAGCCTTTAAGATGGTGCATTAACAACATGTTTAATTTGTTTGTGGTGTGATGGTATGAGAGATGGGATATAAAAAGTAATTTAGTTGGATAATTCCTAATTTCATTTGTTTTTTAGGATTTTGATCTGATTGGGAGTAAGAAGATTGCATATACTTTTGATGGAATTTATATGCCATAGTTCTTGATGATAGTGTACCTGGAAATGTTTTCAAAATATCCAAGCAGAGCAAAGTAAAAGGTATATAAATAAATCCATTAAACACGGTTTCAGGAGATGATGAAAGCGAAGAGCCAGTGGACATGGAGACAGAAACTCCCACAACCTCAGCAGGAACAGAAGAAGAAGTGGATGCAGCAGAAAAGGTAAGGAATCTTTTAGATATTAACTTGTTCATATGTAGGTAGGTAGGAGGTCATTGAAGTTTTTACAAGGAATGTATATATGTCAGCAGATTTACTTTTGCCCAGTAACTTGATGTTTGGTAAATTGGATTGCATTGTATATGGTTGAATAGTTTTGGTTAAAGAATTGATTATTAGATTTGAGATGTCCTTAATTTCACTAGTTTATTACATACCTAGAATATTAGGTATCACTGAATTATTACTATTGATATAGTCTGATAGTTTGTGAATAGTAACTAGCTGATACAAACCTTGGAAAAGCTTCTGATGTAAAGGAAATGTTGATGTTTAAGTTTATACATTATCTCATTCTTTGAGGATGAAAATTGTGAATTTGTAAGTTGTGGATAAATGCTGTCGAAATGACACCCACGTAAACATGGATGAGTAAGCACACACACAGTCACTCATCACACTCTCTCTCTCTCCTCTCTCTCCTCTCTCTCCTCTTCTGTCTCCTCTCTCTCTCTCTTCCTTGTTCTCTCTGTCTCCTCTCTCTCTCTCTCGCCTCGAGCCCACCCCCCCCTATCCCCCTCTTCTCTCTCTCTCTCTCCTCTCTCTCTCTCTCTCTCTCTCTCTCTCCTCTCTCTCTCTCTCTCTCTCTCTCGTCTCTCTCTCTCTCTCGTCTCTCTTCTCTTCTCTCCTCTCCTCTCCCCTCCGTCTCCTCTCTCTCTCTCCTCTCCTTTCTCTCTCCCTCTCTCGATCCTTCTCTCTCCTCTCTCTCTCTCTACCTCTCCGCCTTCTCTCCTCTCTCTCTCTCTCTCTCTCCCTCCCTCTCTCTCTCTCTCTCTCTTCTCTCTCTCTCCTCTCGTCTCTCTCTCTCTCTCTCTTTCTCTTTCTCTTTCTCTTCTTTCTTTCTCTTTTCTCTTTCCTTTTCCCTTGCTCTTTCCTTTCTCTTTGGTCTCTCCCCCCCTCTATCTCTCTCTTTCCCCCCCTCTCTCGCTCTCTGCTCCGTCTCTCTCTCTTCTTTTTTTCTTCTCTTATTTTCATGATATGTGTTTACTACGTTATATATTTTTATTGTTATGCTGGTATATGTACTGTATATTAGTATAGAAAGATATATAATGAATAATATATGTGTGTGTGTGTGTGTGTGTGTGTGTGTGGTGTGTGTGTGTGTGTGTGTGTGTGTGTGTGGTGTGTGTGTGTGTGTGTGTGTGTGTGTGTGTGTGTTATAAATTATTATATGTATAATAATATATTATATAATAATATATATATATATGTATAAATATATATTATATATATAGTATTATATGTATATAATATATCAGTATAGTTAATAAGAATATATATATATAGTATAAATATATATATAGTAATATGTGTGTTGTGTGTGTAGTGTTGTGTATTTGTGTTGGGTGTGTGTGTGATATATGTAGTGTGTGTGTGTATATGGTGTGCTTGTGTGGGTAATATGTGTAGTATATGTTGTGTATATGTGATCGTGATATATATTATCAGATATAGTATATAAAGTAATATGTTAATAATATTATATAATAATAAGGAGAGGTTAAAATTAAGAAATAGTACTTGTAAAAATTAATGAAAAATTATGTAATTATAAAAAATAAATAAGTGTATATGATTAAACTTAAATTAAATTATCATAAAATGCATAATAAAAAAAAAATAAGTATATAATAATTTAAATTAATTAATGTAAAATATAAAGTAAAGATATAAAGTGATAAGAGGAGTGTAATATCTAATTAAAATAAACTATAATAATAAAGTTTATGTAAGGGAATTAAAGTAGTAAATGATTTTTAAAAATACTCATCTAAATTAATAACTAATATAAATATGAAAATAATAGATAATAATAGTTAAAATAAAATAAGATAAAATTTACAGTGTGTATAAATTATATTGTAAATATATTGATTAAATATAGTAATAAAACACGTAGTATATCTCACTCACTTAATAAATTATATCAGTATATTATCTAAATATGATAGAGTATAATATAAATATTTACGTGTAGATAAGAGAATAGTTATAGTATGATATATAATATAAGTTAAATATTGATAATAAGATGAATAAAAGAATTAAATAAAGTAATAATATATTGAGGAATATTAAATATTATATAGATTAGAAAATAGATAGGTAAATAATAAAGAGATGTATATAAGTTATAATAAGGTTTATAATATAGAAGTTATTATACAATTAATCTGTCAATTAGTTAATATAAATATAATTAATATTATTCTCTCTTATATAATATAATTATTAAAAAAGATAATGCAGATCACACAATAAGTAAATAAAATATTGAGGATATAAAAAAATACAAGTAAGTATAATATTTTAATGATATAGTATATAATATAGATATTTATATAAATATATTATTAAAAATTATAAAATTAATATTAAATGGTGATCATATAAATATATTTAAAATATATAAAAAGTAATAAGGTATTTTCTGAAAATTTAATATATAATAATAATAATAAATTTTTTATAGAATAATATAAGGTATAAATATTTTAAATTAAAAGTTGGTAATATATTTTAATTAGAAGTAAATAAATGTAATATAGATTAGTATTATAAACAGAATTAAAAAATCTAATTAATTATATATAATAAATCATAGATAATTCATATATAAAGTATGGAATAAATATATATTATATATCAGTATAGAAGGCAATAAAATGACAATATAATTAAATTTTTAGATAATAATAAGTATAAATAACTTATTTTATATAACTCGATAATAAGCTATTAGGAGGTTGATGGTAATAAATAGTAGTATAATGAAATTAAATAATAAATGTAATTAATTAAATTAATATAAGATTAATTATATACTATATTTATATATACCTTATACATAAACTTTATATTAATATAGATATTATAATATATTTATTAAAAAAAAGTATATAACTAATGTAATTAAATGGTACTTATGAATATATAATAGTATAAAAGGATAAGATGATAATTATAATTAATATCATTAATTTAAAGTGTAATAGGTAGGTAATTAATATAATTTAATACTATATAATTTTTAAAGTATTAAAATATTAAGTTAAAGTAGATAATAATATCTCAATATCGAATAAAGTATGAGTCAATTTAAAATATATATTGTGTATTTAAATTTAATATATATAGAATAGATATTATAAGTACACACGATAAATAACTCACAATGAAATGATAGAGGGAACATAGTTAATAATATAAATAAGTAAAATATTTTACATAGAAGTATTTTATTAATTCTAAATAAATAAAGTAGTAAGTTATATATAGGTATTTATAATAAAGTTTTATTTTAAATATAATTATGTGAAGTAAAAAATTTAAATTAAAATAAAAGGATTAAATTATTATAATATATTAAGAGATGATACATATAAATAAAAAAATGAAAAGAAGAAAAAAAAAGAAAAAAAAAAAAAAAACGAAAAAAAACAAAAAAAAAAAAAAAATCAATTATTTTTTTTTTGGAAATAAGTATTTTTAAAATAAATAAATTTTATTAAGTAAATGATTACAGTTTAATATAGATAATTTTTAAAAATATATATATAAGTGTCAGGAGGACGGGAAAAAAATTTAAGTAAATTTAATATAGTATATTAGTAATAATAAGCTGTATAAATGATGTAAAATTTTAAGTTATATGACATACTCTAAAATGTAATTAATATCTCATAAAATACATTGTAATAAATTTAGATAATTAATTAAGTATATCAAATAAGTGAATATTGTAGGTAAAAAGTAAGGTATGTTAAAAGAGATAAGATTAATATTTGTTAAGGTAAAATAGATAAATAGAACTTAGTTATAAAGGATGATAATACATAGGTACATATATAGTAATTATTAATATTAAGAAATTAAATATATCCGAATTGGAAAAATAAAAAGAATAGATATATGGATTGTTGTAATCAATAAAGTAAATATAAAGATAAAAATAATATGAATAGATTTGATAAAATAAATAATAATAACAAAAATAGTTACTAAAAATTAAATATTATAAGAGCTAATACGTAAGATTACAGTAAGATAAAAGTTATTAAAAAATTAAATGAACTAGATTAACTTAATAAAAAAAAATTAATATTTAAGTTTAATTAAAATAATAAATGTCAAACAAGTATTACATAATAAAATTAAGATTATAATATAAAAGTATATATAGAATATATATATAGTTATCAAAGTAACTATAAGAATAAATTTATGGATATAGATAATACAAGTATATATATGATGACAGTAAAAATATTAGATAATATCCAACTATTAAGGTAAAAATATAAATTACTATGAAGATA